TTTTATTATTTGAGCTTTTTTTATCCTTTCTAGATGTGCACATTGTTTTGCACCTAAATCAAATGATTTACATACACGATTTTGTACGGAATGTGGTCTATCTTGGCAAAAACTAACTCATAATCCACCGGATAATTATTTAGTAATTCAAAATAATTCTATCGGATATGATGACTACCCTTCATTTGAAAAAAAGAAACTATCTAATCCCATTCTGTTGAACAACTCATAGTTATTTACGAAATTATTTTTTCATAAAAGTCATTATACCAGCTAAGATATATAAGAGCAATGATGAGTAATATGATCTCAAAAATAACCTATATCTGACATATATATATGAGTCTTTCGAAAACAGTAAAAAAACATTTTTCTCTTTCAGAATCTTGATAAAGCTATTAATTCTTATAAGAAACCCGAACATATGTTGAATGTGATAGAACTACATATCCGAATCACATTCGACGTTCTGAAGCCTAAAAACAAAAAGAAAGCTCATATATTTTTCTATTCTCAGGAATCATACTTATAAAACTCGGAAAAAGTTGCATAGTTGGTTGCCTTTGTCCTCGACAGTCATATCTTACAACAGCCATCATTGCTATAATACCTGTTAACCAGTAACCCTCCCCCCAGAATAAAAGTGCATGCCCTTATACAGTGTCTTGGCACATCGCTACTTTTTGAATGGCCTTCTATTGGGGGTCAATTTTTGGCCAGTTTTTAATTAAAATCATTTAAAAAATGAATAATTAATTAATAACTTTAATTATTGTTTTTTGCTGAAAAAACTACCATTTTTTGTAAAAACTGTACTAATTATGATAGGAAAGGAAGGATTTCGCAAAAAGAAAACATTAGAAAATCGGTTATATTTCCTTAATTCGGGGAGGGGGGTATATGACTTTTCAGAACTGTAAAATTTGATAAAGAGTATATCCTTCGACGGATCATGTATTGTTCTACATAACAGTATTGATTACTTTACAAATGAATAGTAGTTATTTTATTTTACACGGATAATTTTTCTTTAATTAGACTAATATATGTACAAATTGTAAATCTACTATTCCATTTAATTCTAACACATGTGTTATATATGAAACACCAGTATCCAAAGAACCACAACAACGACCAACTTCTCAAAATCAGGTTTCAAAAAAATTAATCAAATTTTAATGTTCCTCTCTAGACAAGAATTCTATGTCCTCATTGTAAATCAACAAATCCAATACATTTACGAACATATTATATTTGTGAAAATGTATTAATACCAACATCGACATCACCAGTAAACAAAAAAAATCTTATTTATTTTTTTTCCGTATTTATATTTCAATAGGAAAAACGAACTTCAATTTCAATTCCAACAATATCAAAACAAACAAATACAATGATGATAACATGTTCAAAATGTTTTCGTTTAAATAATCCTAATGCTCGTTTTTGTGATTGGTGTAGTGCATATCCTGATCATGCATCTACATCAATACAATGTACAAAATGTCATACTAATAATGATTCATTTGGAAAATATTGTTCAACATGTGGATGTGTTCTTGAACCATCATTACGTATTATTGATACACGTCTTTAAAATGATTTGAATATTTCATCGTCATCAATGATTGCTAGTGTATATTAAAATTAAAGAATAAAAAAAAACAAAAAAATAAAACGATTCTTATTTTCTATAGACATTAACATGTAATTCAGTTAATCCTGTATGGCTTAATGCAAATACAACATTAACTAATTATCATCAATCATATTCAACAATTAAAAAAGAAGTTGCAACACAAACATATGGAATTTATTATCCAAGTGCAAAAGATATTGATTTAATTATAACACAAAATAAAAAATTATTAAATGAAAAAGAATTAAAAGAATATCGTCCAATATTAACATCTACAAATCCAGGAAAAGGATATTAGCGACAACAATTAGATCATATTTGTGCTCATTTAAAAACTTATGCAGTTAATCGACCAGATTTTCAATCATTGATTGGTAAAGATCTTTAATATTTAAAAAAAAA